ATTAGAACCTTAGCTTGTTTTCAGAAATTTTATTGGATAACTGTAATTACAAGCTAAGGTTCTAATGTAAACATACACAAAACATACTTTTAAGCATTAAAAATGATGATAAATCGCTCCCAAAATTGTCCAGTTTATTTTCTTAGTAACGATGCACCCGTATTTTCTTTTATTACATGAGAATTCTCACTATAACTCTTCCACCTTAAGAATGAAGCATCCCCTGAGAGGTTGAACATCTTTCCTTCTAATTCTATTCCCTCTGGTTGATTGACTTTATACTCTTGCTCCTCTTTGTCACCGCTAGCGTTCTGTTCCTCCATCTTATGTAAAACTTCCATCAGCGGTTTCTAATAGGGCATACCCAAGGATATTTATAATACATAGGATTGCTCGATAAGCAGATATTTTCTCCACGTTAGTGGGGGCTGTGACGTCATCGCGGACCACTTCAGATAAATCTGCATAGTCGCATACTGTTATAAGATGTTTTATTTACTTTCTATATTTAATATGGGGTTTAAAATAATTTTAACTTAAAATATAAACTTTATATAATCTGCAACGGGACTCCCGGTAAATAAAATTATAGTCAAGTTATACAAATTTCTATTTTTATTTCTATTTTTGATTTTTTCTATTTTATTTCTACAAAAAGTTAATATTGCAAGTTTTTAATTTAGATAAATATGAATGTTTCAAACTTCCACTAAAATATGAAAATTATTATTCTGGTTCATTTGCACTTTCAGAAGTTATATAGAAATACTAATTTTACTGTTATCTTTTCAAATATATGTTTAAAGTTAAGTAATTATTATTTAAATGTGTACTAGTAACTTATTCCATTTATATTTTTAAAAGAACTAAGCACATTAAATATTTTCTAAACTATTGTAGGTATACCTAATAAAAAAAATTGGAAATAGTAGGTGACTGTTTTTTATTAAATAAAAATAAAACGATACAAATGATTAAAACTAGTGTTGTAAAGAAGAGTATGCTCTTAATATGCATTTATGAAAACAATAATTAATAATATATCCTGAACAAATTTCATTCCAAAATAGTAACTATAGAGTTTCATTATAAAAAGTGGTGATATTTGTAACCGCTGGTGGCTGATAACATTTCAGGTATACGTCTAGGGATGACAATTTTTGAAAAATGATCGATGTATGACATCACATCTTTTCGTATAACACAAAATAATATAAGTAGATAACTATTACGAATTTGTGGTATGGATAGAACTTTTGCCTTCTACTCTAAATATTTTTATATTATTCTATTCTATAGCAGAAAATACAATTAAAAAATTTAATACAATTGATTTTAATGAGCGAAGAGTACTGTAGTTATAATATCACAATGATTAGATATCATATTAAAATTACATTACATTAGTTGTACCTGTTGATAAATATAGAATGTATTAGTTTGTCTTCTTATAAGATGGAACCGACTTTATTTTCTTTCAGTGCTACTAATTTTTGCTTATTGAAAATTAAATTTATTTTTATCAACATAATTTTATTATATTACACATTAAATAAAAAGAATGATTATTAATTGATATAAAATCATAAAGGTACACAGCGATCTGAAACGCTGTCGATACATCGATATATCGGTTCTTCCTCTTTTCTTTGTAACTCTTCTTCCATTTCCTTTTTTTTTATATCTTTGTGTCCGTAAACTTGTTACATCCTGTGGTTTGTTTGGAAGAAATAATGATGGCACAGCAGTTGTTTTAAGAAGTTTTCGTGGAGGCAAACCTACAAATTAATATACAGCAATTGTTTACGACAACCTGAACATTGAACAAATAATGTAATTATTACCTAATGTTTTTCCTTGGGAAAATTATGGTAAACTATTTCCGGATTATCCGTTTTCGTTGAAATACGGCTGTTATTAAAGCCATACATAGTAGAACGGCGCCACGGCATCTCATCTATTATG